GTGTTTTTCTCTGCTTTTCTTTCTTCACCACTATATCGTTTACTATCTGTTCAATAGTATTTGAACCCGGGGCGCGCCTTCAAGAGAGCTCATCTATTTACAGACATTTGGCGGCCACTTCCAAGTGATGGAGGATTCTGTACCTATGCAGGCTAATCTTATCGCCACGCATCGAGCAGACGGTCGATGAGAAAGCAAAGCTATTCATCCGTTTCCTTGTTACTTTACTGTACAGTAGTCTATATGAATTTATATATAGTATGTATAAACAGAACTGAGCAAGAAACTTCAACTCTATCCTCAACCGATAAGCCTGAAAGAAGGGAATGTCGAGTGTTGCATAATGGCACAATCTACGATATGTACAAAATGAAACGAAACACGAACAAAAATACAACAACTGAGAAATCCGTGTGAGTTTGCAGACGATCAAAAAAGACACGTTAGAATCAATACTCACTACAAGCAGCCAATTTTCTTGCACAATCGATTATATGCTCATGAAACTTTGTCACCGATGCAAATCGATCATCGTGACACAAAGAACAAATCATTACCCGTGATTTTGCAGCCGTTTCACACTTAGGTATAGGCGAGAGATCGTAGTTTAGTGGAATGTTACCCGAGTCGGACATCTGTGAAAAAGAAAAATCAGGAAGTATTTCAACATCTGCACGTGTTATGCCCTCCAGGTAACTAAGGATATTTCTCAACCGTCGCCTTCTTCCTTTCTTTCCTCTTCCTTTCTTCCCCTCTTCTTCTTCCTTCTCTTTCTTCTCTCTTACTCATTTCTCACCCTTCAAGTTCGGCCAGTGGATCCGGTGAAAAAGTACCTCAGGGCCCTCGCAGTAAGAGAACATCCGGTTGACAAAAGCCCCTAACTGCACTACAGTTTCACGGGAGACGCGCAACAGAATCGTCGGGGGTGTCGAGTTCATTGTAAACTTCTGTCAAGCCACGCCTACTCCATCTCTGGGATATGGAACTTATATAGGCGCGACTCCGCGTCGCAGGTCATTACTACCAACGGTTACCTTGAACCATAGGGATCGAAGTGATCCTTCAGACAACAGCCGGTCATACTTGTCCATGGAATCACAAACACTGCAGCAACATTCGAAGGACAAAGGCAACACCTTCTAAAGGTAGGATTATCTGACGTGGATTTTTTTCGGATTTTTTCTGAAGACTTCTCACCTATCGTCGAATTTCAGTCAGGGTGGAGTAACGCGGAAGTCTACGGTACCACATATGGCGATGGTGGGAAAACGCCAGCTCCTCTTGTCGACATGAAGTGCGATTATATAAAGCAGGTTCAGCTGATCACTTTTTATCACTCCTGAGGTAGCTCTAGAGTGCGTTTATAATTCACGACTAGTCACGAAATGCGCCAGTAAAGCGACAGGTTGCGAAATATGAACACACTGTTACAGACAGCCCCTGCGCTCAACGAACTCGTAGGCATTCTTCCTTGCTCAAGTAGCTCGGTCCGCACTCTCAAAGATTGCCGCTTTTTTGCTGTTTCGCAGTCCGTGACGGGAGCGCTGCAGCCCTCATAGGTGGCAGTTCTGACGCCTCTCCCTAGTTACGCTGCCCATCAGAAACGTACTCTTTACACTTATTACAGGGCGCTCATTTGTTGTTTGGTGTGATGTAGTAGTGACATTGCAATATTGTCATGGCCATGCCAATCGTCGTTATTCTAGGTTCGGTGGTTTATTCAAGGCTGTAGCGGAATTTACGATGCGGCGGGTTGATGTCATAGCATACTCCATGGGTTCTCCAGTCGCTAGAAAGGTATGTTGAACTGATTCATGAGTTCTTTTCGCTGAGATAGCCGAGCTCATGTCAAAGGGTTAGTCCACGCTGGCCATACAGGCGGGATCAGACCTGCAAACATTGTCTTCTCCTTTGACATGCCAGAAGTTTGCACATCCTATCTACCCTCTTGGAGCCTGCTAGACTACATGTCTTCCCAGTAAAGAGCGACGTTCCTGAGAAAGACAAACCCCGAACGACCCGTCTCCGCCCATACGACCAGCGTGGAATGTGCATTCAAGAACTTTTGTAAGCTTGTTCCACACACACTCGCCGCCGGAGCTCCTATCGAGCTCGGAATGTTACAAATTTAGCCGCTGAAGCACCATCCGCAGTGGTTCTGTAAAGCGCTGA